TTGCCATCAGAGTGGTCTCGGAGAGCTCTGGCTAAAATAACAAACTTCAGTGAAATCCGCATGTGCTCCAAATGCCTTTGGGACTCTCTTGTCATTCCAAGAACCAAGAAGTTTCCAACATGAATGAAAAAAATAAATCAATAAGGCCTACATTCACTTCCTAGCACTTATATACAAAGTCAGGCATGGTGCACGTGCTTGTAATCCCAGGGCTGGGGAGGCTGAGACAAGAACATCTTTGGGGCTTGCTGAGTACCCAGTCTAGAAGTCAGGGAGCTCCAGGTTCCGTGAGACTCTGTCTGAAAATTAAGGTGGAAAGGGGCTGAAGAAGATAAGTGACATCAGCTTCTGGAAGACACACACACACACACACACCACATACTCTCTCTCTCACACACACACACACAAACCACATACACAACCATATACCACATACTTACACACACACCACATACACACACATATACTACACACACACCACATACTCACATACTCACACACACACCACACACACACACACACACACACACACACACACGCACACTACACACACACACCACATATTCTCCAACCAAAACATCCAAACAACTGTAATAAAAATACTTCAATGAACAATTATGAACACGTTTGGAACAACTGAAGAAATGGAAAGCCTCAGCAGAGAGATGGGTACAGTAGCTCAGAGAGAGAGAGGAGAGGCCCCACATGTATGAGACATTCCATTCAATCCACAGCACCATAAAAATGACGGAAAGGAAAACCGAGTGGAAATGTTGGAACTGAAAAATGCAGCAGATGGAGAGCTCAGCGGACGGCCCAGAGGCACAGGACTAAGAAGTCAGAGGACTGGAAGAGCAGAAAGCATTCTGTCTGAGAAGAGGGAGAAGGAAGCCTGGGAAAAAAGAGCTCCAGGGACCTTCTTTACCACAGAGGGACCCCAGTGTTTTTGTGAAGGACACAGAACCGAACAAATTCAAGGAAACAATATTTGCTAAAAACTTTGCAAATTTTGTGAGGGACCTAAATTCAGAGCCAAAAAGTGAAAGTTAAGTGGGAAAAAAACAAACAAACAAAAAATGTGCCAAGACATCATGATTAAACTTACCAAACTAAAGACCGAGAAAAAAGAATCTTGAATAAATCAGGAGGGAAACCACTTGATTGGGGGCAGGCAGGCAAACACGGTTTCCTGTCAGAGGTGACAGGGGCAAAGGCAGCAGTACAGTTTCCAAATCAATGCACAATTCCTTTCTTAGCAAAAACGCCTTGAGGTGCCGGACATGGTGGGGCACACTTGGAATTAGGAGGTGGAGGTAGAAAAATGATGTTTGCGTGTAGCCTGGGCTATGTACTGAAACCCCATCTAAAAAATGTGCATATAGGGAATAAAAGTGAAGACTATGGGATGTAAAAACTTCCCTCGAAAATAATTGCAACAGCTCCCAGGAGCAGGGAATTAGTCATTTTATGCCTCGGTTTCCTGTTTCTAAACGATTCATACTAAGATACCAGTGAAATGATGATGATTGGGGTTTCCCTCAGGGCTATCCAGAGTGAGGGAGAAGCAGGTGGGGTTTTTAGAAGAATGATTAGCCAGCAGTAGGTCACATGTCACACGGGGTAGACACACGGGTTCTGGTTTTGTTCCCTTTTGAGGCAGGCTGGCTTTGTGCTCCTTATGTAGCTGAGGATGACCTTGAACAGATCTTCTCACCTCTGTCTCTCCAGACATGTGGGCTGCTCATGAGCTGTAGGGCCGGTGAGGCTCCAGACTTTGCAGACACACCTGGTGTGAATCTTCCTCTGCTGCTCTTTATCGCTGTGACCCTGGGCAAACCACTGAACTTCTTACCCTGTAGGGCAAATACCAGATGCGGACAGATGACACTGCCAAGGAAGAATGTAAGGCGAGGGAAGGGAGGTTCTGAGCAGGCACTTGGCCTGAAGAAAGAGACAGGAAGCAAAGTGAGTAGAGGAGAGAGGCACAGTTGCAGGTGGGCCAGCGCGCCAGAATCCAGGAAAAGATTTAAAAGTTGTAGCAGGCTAGCTGAGAAGCCCTGGGGGTGGGTGTTCAGGTCTTCCATGCCGATAATGGTTTTGGTCCAGTGGAGAAAGTGGGCCCAGACTCAATGCTGAAAAACAGGTGGGGGGAGAGGAATGATGCTCATTCTCAGAACAGTGGCAACGAGGTGGGGGAGGAGATACAGTGGCCTGAGGGGAGGGACTCTAGGGACACTGAGGGGCATAGCAAGGAGGGCCGTTTCCCTCTCCCGGTTCTTGGGGCTGGTGCTTCTGTGCACATGAAAGTGTAAATGTATCTTCGACACTCTGTTGCCCTGCCAGGTGTGTCCCCAGAAGTGCATTCTCCAGTACAGCTGCTGGACCAGACCGGAGATCTGCTTCTGGTATTTACTGGAAGCCGCGCACTGTTTCCCATCCCCCAGCAACGCAGTGGTTCCAGGTTCTCCGCGTCCTCTCTAGCACCTGTGTTTTTGATTTGCTATGTTGACATTGGCATCCTGAGAGATGTCAGGTGATGTCTTGTCATAGTTTTGACACATCAGTGAAGAAAAATATGGGGTATACATATATAGAAAAATATAGAGTATACATGTAATAGAATACTATTCAACCTTAAAAGGGAAGCAAGCCTATGTTCTGCTACAGCATGAACAAACCCGGCAAACACTACACTCAATGAAACAGAAAGACACATGCCATATCATTCCACTTTTATGAGGTGGCTAAAATAGTCTTACAGGAGTAAAGAATACGAGGGTGGTATCCAAGGCTGGGGTGAGGCTTGAGGAAATTATAGTTTAATGGGTATGAAGTTTCAGTGATCATAGACGTTTAAGCTCTACTAGAGATTTATGGCACATTGTGCCTACAGTTAACAAGGTGATATTGTAGCTGGGAGATGGTGCACGCCTTTAATTCCAGCACTTGGGAGGCAGAGGCAGGAGGATCTCTGAGTTCAAGGTTAGCCTGGTCTATAGAGTGAGTTCCAGGACAGCCAGGGCTGTGCAGAAAAACCCCGACTCCAAACAAACAAAAAAAAAAATCAAAACACGAAACAAACAGCAAAACAAGGTGGTATTGTACCCTTCCCTGCATTTGTGCAGATGGTAGATCTCATGTTAAATCTTAAAAAAATTGTTTTTGTTTTCCCTTCCTTCCTTCCTTCCTTTCTTCTCTTTTTTCTTTCTTTCTTTCTTTCTTTCTTTCTTTCTTTCTTTCTTTCTTTCTTTCTTTCTTTCTCTCTTCTCTCTTTCTCTCTCTTCTCTCTCTTCTCTCTTTCTCTCTTTCTCTCTTTCTCTCTCTTCTCTCTTTCTCTCTTTCTCTCTTTCTCTCTTTCTTTCTTTCTTTCTTTCTTTCTTTCTTTCTTTCTTTCTTTTTTGTACAAAAATAAAAGGACACCAGGAAGCCTTTAGAAGAGTAGATCGAGTATTACTCCAAATTTGTACTGGAATCCCAGGTATTTACAAAGCTCAAAGTTCACCAAAATAGACACATTAAACATATGCAGATCTGTGTGTATCAATTATACCTCAGAGCTGGAGAGAGGGGGAGGAGGGAGGGAGGAACGGAAGGAGGGCTAGTCTGTCCTGCAGGAGAAGGGCAGTCTCAAGAGCAAGGTGGGAAGCCCTTCTTCCATGCAGACTGGGATTGTGCCAAGGCTGCAATGTCTGTCCCTGAAAGCCGCCCTTCCATTAAAAAGAAAGGGACATCGGAAGCGAATCAGGACTTATAAAGGCTGACTAGATCTTATTCACAGTGATGGAACTGTGGTGTTGTTTTAAAGGTTGGTTCTTGCTTTCTACATTGGCACTAACTTGTTTATAGATGGAATATGTCTGGGATTTATATGTCTGCTTTACCCCCACGGGAACTGGAGAATGACTCCTTTGGTCTTCTAGGGAGAGGCTCCAGAACAGGTCTTTGAGGAGCTGGAGTGCTGTGTCAAGCCCTCCTATGCTTGCCATTGACTAGGTGCCCTCCAGTTAATGTCATTAGTCACTTGGGATGGCGAAGCATTGAGCAGCATGTTAACAAGCCCTTGCCAGAGAGGCTGTGTTCCTATTTCATGATTCTCCAGAGTGACCAGTCTACACTGACTCACTCACACCCACTGGGAGGCCTGTGTGTCCAATCTGGAAATCCGTGGGTGTGAGGTACCAGTGCTCAGTCACTGTGGACCAAAGGGCTCAGGCAACAAGTCCTTCCAGGTCAGCTTTGTCTGAGGCTGCTACAGGCTGGGTGTGGTTTGAGAGTGTTGCACATCAGTAACTGGTGGGCGATGTTGAGGTGGCCTATCGCCCACCTGTGGGAGGAGCCTATTGGAAGGCACTTAGGTCATGGGAGCATGCCCTTAGTAGGGATGAGTGCAGGTCTTCTGGGAACCCCTAAAGGAGGTTGCGATAAGCAACCTGACACATCCCTGACTCACTGGCCCTCTTTATGCTGTGTGTGTGATCCCTCCCTCTCACACCCACTCCCACCACAGAGCTATCCTCCATGTTCTGATGACCAAGAAGACCCTTATGAGTGCTCAGCCTCCACGTTACCTAGTCTCTGGCATTTTGTTACAGCATCACAAAATGGACCAAGATATTTGTATAAGACTCCCCCCCCCCCCCGCCACTCTTCTCTTTTTAAGTTTTTTGATGTAGGGTCTTAAATTTTACCCCAGGCTAACTCACTCACTATGTAGCCAAAGCTGACCTCTTCTTGCCTCTGCTGCCTCCTAAGTGCTAAGATTACAGGAGCACCATCAAGGCGGAGCTGACCAAGAAGACATTTCCCAGAGTCCTATGAGCATCCTCTCCAAGCTGAGGGTGCTCACAGACACGAGGATAGAAACATGCTTCTTGAAATCCAGGCACCTACACCCACAGCAACTGGTGTCTCCCCAGCAAAAACTCATCACCTCTGGTGATGGAGGGGCGCGGGGGCGGGGGGAGCCCTGGAGGGAACAGAAACCCACAGTGTACACAGGCTTAAGCGACAGGGTGAAGCTTTATTGGGGTGATCACATTCGTGTTTGCACCGTTCACCATAGGTGGAGAAGGCCAGTTTTAAAAGTGTCCCATTTCCTTCAATTCCATCTGTATTCAGCAAGCAGCAACATATATTGTCCAGTGAACACATCCCACCTTAAGAGCACACACTAGTTTATAAAACTGTCCTCAGTGTGAAACAATATTCATAAGATGCTAGACCCTTTACAAGTTCAAACTTTAGAAACTTGGGGCTCACTTGCAAAGCTAATGTTGTTTTTTTTTTCCAGGTAAGGAAGGCCAGTCATAAAAAAAATACTTTATATATAAGTTCAAGGTCAGAACTAAAATATTCAACCCTATAAAAATATCTTACTGATAAAACTATTAATTTCTAGACAAAACGCTCTTTATCAACAAGTTATATAAATTTTCAGGAAATCCACACTAAGTCAGACAGTCCCCACAGGACTTGTCAAGGTGACTTCAAGGTTCATTAGTCACCAGGATTTTGTTTTCAGAGATGGACCTCAATTTTGACTTACGTTGTATGTGAATAGCTCAGGTGTTGTACAAAAATTGAACTCAAGTATCTATTTGCTATGAGTCATTTATAGACAAACTCTCGACCTAGAGGGAGTAGTCAGAGTGCCGTCGTCTACAGAGAGGGCGCATGCTGTGGCAGGGCTCACCTACACTTGACAAACTTAACTTGGGAAACTTGTGATTGCGTTCTGACCGCTATCTGAGATCAGCTCATTAATTTCATTCTGCTTGCTCTCTTTCAGGGCATGGTTGGGATGGTTCCTCTGCGCCTGTGTTCTTTTGGATCTCCTGAAACACAATTTTAGCAGCAGGTAACACAGCTCAGCCACATTGAGCAGCATGCAAATCACAGATGCGGCAATCATAAACACCGTAAACACCGTTTTCTCCGTTGGCCTCGAAATAAAGCAGTCCACAAGATTGGGGCAGGGATCAATGCCGCATTTCAGCACCCAGGGCAGGTGGTACCCATTGTAGAGGAAGTAGAACACATACATGAAGGCGGCTTCAAAGATGATGCGGAAGAAGATGCTGCTGGTGTATGTCCACCACAGCGAGCCCTCGATGCGTACCTTCTGCCGTTTGATGTCCTCCAGGTCTTTAAATTCATTCCTCTTCTCCCCACGGATAAACTTACGGGCGGTTTCATGTCTATAGTAGGCCACATGCATGGCCACCAGCAGTGCTGGCGTGGACACGAAGATGAGCTGCAGGGCCCAGAGCCGGATGTGGGGATACCGGGAAGAAGTGGTCGTAGCAGACATTCTTGCACCCTGGCTGCAGGGGTGTTGCACACAAAGTCCTCCTGCTCATCACCCCCATACTTCCTGGGCTGCCACCACAAGGATCATGACTCGGAAAATAAAGATGACTGTGATCCATACCTTCCCTATGCTGGTGGAGTGCTTATTCACACCACCAATGACAGTGTGCAGGGTCCCCCAGTCCATCGTGTGGGTTTTATTCCTAAATAGACAAAAAGGAGCAGAACTGATTAGTGGAAGGCACCTCTGAATTAACCAACCACCCTCATAGTGAAATTCCAAGGTCACGTGAATCTAGGCAGGTCTCAACTGCCTAGTCCGCCATCTACTATGTGCTTTTCTGACAAGGAACGGCCATTATAAAGATGTTCTCTCATTTCTGACCACAAGTCACAAATAGTGGACAAACTTCATGTATTCCACCTACGAGGCAAGCATCAACCTGACAACTTCCTTACTAGGTGAGGAGTTTTAATAAATGATCGGCACAGTAAATAGGTACTTGATTTCACTTTTAGTATAAGAATTGTGCCTTTCACATGCTATATAAGTTATCTAAGTTCAATTGAACACAGGTTGTGTATTAGGTGGTGTTTGTCATTAACCCAAGAACACAGGAAAACGAACTCGTGCCCAAATTCCCTTTCTTCACTAGGCAAATGCACACATTGTATCATTGTGGTTTTACTGAGGGATTCAGAACTTCCCCCATAGGTTTTAGTAATTAAGCACTTTATCCAAGCCACAAAATAACAGCAAAAATCACTCATTAGAATGCCGTAGTATGGTTTACTTAGCAGACTAAGAAGAAACAATGCTGTCAGCTGACCTTATACAGTGTATACTTATTTCTAGCTCGAATGGACCATCTGCTTGCTATCATGTGCTCTCAGGAAAGTTAATATCTTCAACTATCCTCCCCAAAAGAGAATCACAAGGTTTGACACAAATTGTTTCCTTGTCCTCCGATGGAAGCAGGCCATGTGTTGGCTGTTGCTCAAAAATACGGGTCCATTGTACCAGGGGCCACAGAAGCCCAGGATGTTCCTTCTTTCTAAAAGACTGATTTGACAACCTGAGAGAAAAGAATCCTCTTTCCTCTACAGCCGTGGTTCTCAGCCTTCCTAATGCTGTGACCCTTAAATACAGCTCCTCATGGCATGGTGACCCCCAACCATAAGATTATTTTGTTGCTACTTCATAACTGTAATTTTTCTACCGTTACGAATCATAATGTAAATATCTGTGTTTTCTGATGGTCTTAGGTGATCCGTGTGGAAGGGTCATTTAAACCCCAAGGGGACAAGACCCACAGGTTGAGAACAATTGTTCTATGGCAACTCTCATTATAATTCAAACAGCTGCTTCTTATCCCACATCACCAAAAAGAAAGAATTGGTTGGCATGCTCTTATTTTTTTTTTTAAATGTGTATGTGTTGCTGGGCGGTGGTGCGCACGCCTTTAATCCCAGCACTCGGGAGGCAGAGGCAGGCAGATCTCTGTGGGTTCAAGGCCAGCCTGGTCTACAAAGTGATTTCCAGGAAAGGCGCAAAGCTACACAGAGAAACCCTGTCTCGAAAAACCAAAAAAAAAACAAAACAAAACAAAACAAAACAAAAAAACTGTGTATGTGTGTGGGAGTAATGAATGACAGACACTGAAAATCTTTAGAAACGAAGACAGGCAAGTTTTCATCCAGTTGGAGGGGATGAAAGAGTCACCAAAGTCCTTTTGCTGCTGGTCTCAGGAGACTTTCTCTTGGAAGTGGGTGAGGAACACTGTCCAACTTTCCCCCAAGTTAACCATGGTCAGTGTCTAACCACGCCCTAGTCCACAGCCTGCCCTCAGCATTGCTGGCCACTCCTCACACTGCCCACCGTGTCCCCTGGGATGTCCTGGGTTTGATTAATTTTAGAGTCTATGTTTTTTCCCAGAAAGCCACCAAGTTTGGGCTCACCAAGTAGCTACCACATCATCTGACCCTTGTGTGATGCTATCTGTCCTGCTGGGTCAGACAATGGCAGCTGAGGTGCACACCGTGGGGGATAGAAGAGGGCATGATAGGGGTATAACTAGAAATTTCCATGATTTGGTTTCAAGAATTCGTCCCCTTGCCATTGGCCAGAACATCAGAAAGTTCATAGTTGCAAAAGCTGATCACATGCTGTGACTACAGGGCTATCACCAGAACGTCTGGATTGGTAGCCACACTGAACCTGAACTTGCTTACCCACCCCCAGTACAGGTGCAAATGCACACAATGATTTTAGTTCAGCCTAGATTGAGTTAAATTTTAACTTTTTTAATAAAAAAGAGAAGGGGGAAATGAATTCCATCCTCAAGGATTTGCAAAAGTGGAGGAATGAAGCTTTTCAAAAACTCTGTCCATTGTTATGAGAGGCAGGTGAGGGGTCGGGAACCTAAGGCCACAGAGAGATGGGACAACTCAGACCAAAGGTAACCGGAGAGGCCTAAGTCTGTAAAAACCAAAACAAAATGAGAAAACAAAAGTCAAAAATCCACAATGTGAAAATGTAAGAGAGTTACTTGTGCTCAATGTACAAAAAAGTAGTGGATACATTCCTTGGATTATACGGCTATGGTTAACTTCTGCTGTTGTTGTTTTTGCTTTTGAGACAGAGTCTCATGGAGCCCAGACTGGCCTAGGACTCCTGATTCTCCTTCCTTTACCTCCTGAGTTGGGATTACAGGTATGTACCACCATGTCTCACTCCAGACAGTACAATTTTAATTGGCAACCAATAAAAAGTATCCATTTATTTGTTCATAATGCTGGGAATGGAACTCCAGAACTTTGTGTGTGCTAGGTGAGCACTCTATCAGCTGAACTGTATCCCCGGGCCTGACAGAGGGTACTTCTGTTTAACGTCCAGCAAAGGTCTAAAATGACACTCTTCAGTTACTTTGTAGCAATTGGGCAATGACATGGACAATATCCTAGTTAATGTTTGTAGACATCTCATAATGTCAATAACATAGTTGCATCCTCACAGTTCCTTTAATAATACGTCATAACTCTGTAGTTAAAGAGTATCAGTGCTCTGTATGAGGAGCATTGTTATCAGCAGGACTTTAGTGTCTTTGTATTACTATGGAAAAAATGACTTGGGCTACACCAGAAGAGTGTCCAGGCTCCCTGAAGACATACTCACTCCACGGTTCCAGGAAGATCCTGGCATTCTGGGGGCACCTGTGAGACTCTAAGTAGGTGTCGGAGTCTTGAATGAGGATCTTTTATTTTACAAGGGGATCAGCTAAGAGGCCGAAGCAAAAGAGTTTGAGGGTCTGGACTGTGGGGCACCTGGCCAGCAGCCTTGGCAATTGTAGCAGAAAGATTCAAAGCTTGTGCTGATCTGGAACTTAGAAGCCGGGTTGTGTATTTAGCATTAAGACAAAGCTAGGAGTCTGAAAAATTGAAACAGGCTCTTGGTAAAGCTATGGAAGCCTTTGGTCAGAGGCAGGCTAAGTTCCCATCAGGCAGAGAGATGGATCACTGGGAAGCCACAGTCTGAAGCTCCACAACTTGAGAGTTCTCTCTTATTTACTATGTATTCCATGCCCCAAAGAGACTTTCATTCCCCACTATAAGTATCTGTGTGGTTAAAAATAAAACTTCATCTTAAATAAAACGAATTATGAAGATGAAGTTTTAGTTCTTACTGAAGGACACTATATTAAATTTCCCTGACTGTTGCTGCCATGTCCTGGAAGCATGTCAGTATGTGGCCTGTGAAGAGGCAGAAGTGTGGAAGTCTTGCCGTTCACACTTTCTTTGCCACAGCTCGTCCCCCATGAGGTATTGTTGGTTTTAAAATGTTCTCTCGTTGACCAATCCGCACAACACTCTGTAGTTTGCTCAACAATTGGCCCCATGGATGAGGTTTGTAGAGCTTTCCCTCCCCCCACCCAGTGCTGCCACTGGGGCTCACGCGGCCCTGAGGGCTGCTTCCTCTGTAAGCTCTCCCTCACGTCCCTTCTCACTGCTCACCTGACTTCTAAGAAGTGAATGGATGAGGGAGGTGTCAAAGAACCACAGAGCTTGAATGAATGCTGAGGGGCGGAGGTCACAGAGGTGGTAGAGGGATCATATTTTCTTCCTAAGAATATTGGTTCCACACCCCAAGAATCAGGACAGATAGAGGCACTAGCTTTACTGTTTGCCCCCACTCCCACCCTGGGCCTCTGAATTAAATATTCTGAAGACTTTCTTTCTATCTACCTACTGCACCTGAATAGAAGATATTCAATTTTCATTAATATTACTTTAATATTAAAAGCCGTGAGTTTAGCTATGCGTGGTGGTGCATGCCTCTTTCCTTGCACATGGGAACTTGGACAGAAGGACTGGAAGCCCCCGGCCAACCTGGGCTACAAGAGCCTGTCTCAAACAAATACTTCAGACAAAAACTATGAAGGAAAAGCAGCCTCAACAATGGATCTGAAAGTCTAGAGCAGTGGTTTTCAGCCTTCCTGCGACCCTTTAATATAGCTCCTTATGTTGTGCTGACCCCCAACCATAAATTTTTTCATTGCTACTTCATACCTGTAATTTTGCTACTGTTATGAATCATACTGTAAATATCTTAGGTCTTAATGTGAATATCTTAGGAACGACCCTGCAAAAGGGTCATTCCAACCCCATAAGGGGTCACAACCCACGGGGTTGAGAACCATTGCTTTAAAAGACTACAGCAGTCTAAGTCACTAAGGAAAACAAGGTTAAATTCAAATATTTCTAGCATGTTTAGTCTACTGGTCACTCAAGACAATCCAGCAAAAAGCAGGTCACCCAATTCAAGGGGGGTCTTCTGAAAAGTAATAAAGACCCTTTTGTTTATAACAGAAGAAATGGACAAGAATACCACTCTCTATAGTTCACCCCGGCCCTAAGTGGCTGTACCAAGGACATGAGGTGAACTTGGGTTAGCCCTTTCCAGCAGTGAGATGGTTCTTGCAGATTCTTTGTTTAGAACATGTCATTCCTGAGGGTGTCTTCCATAAAGCCTGGGTATCTGTCCTACATAGCATTTTCCACAGGCCAAAAGCAAGAAAGTGGAGATCACCTTACAAGTAAGAATTAGGAGCCAGTCCAGGTTGATAGGCAGTTTGGGGGTTCCTGAGCCCTGCACTTCCGTATACATGACTTCAGTTCCTGGCAAAGCCTGGCTGCTTCTGGGAGATTCTTCCCCACCCAAGGAGTGCCTGAGGGGTGGAGGTGTTGGGCTACTAAAGATTAAAGGACTTGCCCTTTGGCCTGCCTTATCAGTGGGAGGCAGTATGAAGACAGGTCCTAGGAAGTTCCTGCACCCCATCTTCTTGTAGGAACCCATGACCTTGAGGCATCTTTCTTAAATACTTTGGTTGGAGAGGAGTGGAAGTACCCACCATGTGAGAAATGGTCACTAATTCACAAGAAATTTCTCAAATGACTACAGCCACCAGAACCCTTGGCTACTTGCAGTGAGCAAAACCCCACTTTTGTTCCATGCTTCAAGGGCCTGAGCTGATGGGGGGGAGGCTTTTCAGTGAAAACCAAGCTATTAACTCTTTCTTTGTATACCAGAGAAGTTTGTTTAATCTGACAGCTTCCTGGCCTGCCTATAAGGAACAAATAAACAGATAAAGCTTAGCTCCACAGATGTCACCTTACAAGAATGTGGTTGCGTTTAGGCTTAAGAAGACACATTACATCTATTTCTGTGATGTATTTAATGACAGGGCACAATTCTTGATATTATACTTCCAGCCTTAAATATGTAACTCTAAAAATACATCAACGAGCTAACTTTTGAGACATACTGTTATGAAGCACATTTGTTCTCCCTTTTCACATTTCAAATAAGCCAGGTCTACTTTTGTTCCAGCAGTGATGAAATTTCATGATCAGTTTTATAATTTTGTTTTGAGACAAGGTCTTGCTCTGTGTCTCTGACTGGCCTTGTATTCCTAGGGTGACCTTAAGCTCATAATAATCCCCCTGTCTCAGCTTCTTGAGGGCTGAGATTTACAGGTGTATGTCATAATAACTGGCTTTTGAAGCTTCTGGTATTTGAGGGTTGAGGACAGTTTTATTAGAGTTGAAGGGAAAACATTTGGGTAGATGAGCTGTCAATGTCAGCGGCTGCTAGGAGGAGGGGATGGGGAAGAGGAGAGAGAGCCTCGCCTTCTGAGTTAGGTCAGCGTGTTCAGCAAAGGAAGAGCCGAAACTTTTTACCTAGGAGTTTAATCATGCTGGCTGAATAATGCCATTTTAGCTCCATGGAAGACAGAACCCAAACCAAATCCCTCAGCACACAGAAAGAGCTTTCTTTTTCTAGATCAATCTACAGTACACTTTGAAAAAAAAAAATCACTTGATGATTACTTAATAGATCCAAGAGGAAAGCACACTCCTTACAAGGCCCATGTGAGGTCTGTAGAATTGAGGATACAAGGTAACCAGCTCCAAACAAAACTCCCAAACCTGAGTCTTATTCCCAAGGACTCCCAGTGTGTCCAGCTCAAGAGCCAAGGTGAAATCCCTCTGCAAGGACTTCTGCCTCTTCCTCCTACTCCTCCGGAAGTTAGGAGCACAGTGATGAGGCCCCTCAACGCTGCTCTGTTTATGGATGGCAGTGAGAATGTCACCTGTTGAATGGAAAAAAACATCATTGTTGCCATATTCATTCAAATTTTGTTCAAGTTCACTGGATGAACTTTACGGGTAGCTTTCCTTGATCACCAGATCCATTAAAGGGTAAATTTGGGTACAGTCAGTTTCCTATGCTCTGTGCTCTTCCACCCCATCAAAGGCACTCTCCAGTGTAGGCTTATTTCCCTGTAATCATGATGACAATGGTGATGATGATGATATACTCTATTCCAAACCTCAAACCCAATTTTCAAGTACGCAAAGAGTGGCAAAGAGTTTGAGAAGCTGGGTACAGCCAACCTCCCGATCCCAGAGTTAAAACCAAATCTCAAAAGCCTTTCTTTCACTAAGAAGTCTCCAGAAGTCTCAGGTGACCCAAGAGACAACCTGATAGTCAAGTTGGAAATTTAATGATGCAAACCATCAGGAGCTGTGATTTCAAAACAGTGACTAGTGATGGCATCAGGTTTAGGATTCATATACTTTGTCAACATCAACTCAGCACCAATGAAACTTTTGATATGCCTTTAAATGTAAGAATGGACAAGCTACAAAATGATGCCCCTTACTCCATTTGAGTTACAAAACATATTCTCATTAAGTTCAACACCCCTTTCATAGGCCTTCTTAGCAGTTGCCTGCTCCAAGCAAAGCTCTCCCCTCTCCAAACATTTCATTTAGGTTCCATTACAATTAAATGATTCTAAGGGGTGGACTGGGGGAGGCTTCCGGGGTCCAGTTCCACTCTCCCAGATCAAGCAACAGCTCCTGAAAATCTTAGTTAGAACAATGCAAAATTATGTCCTAAGGGGCCTAGAAATTTGGGTTGAAAACAACTTTCCCATAATTGTATTCCACTGAACCAATACACCCGAAGTCATAGTCTCTGGAATTTTTAGACTGAATCAGAAGAACTGCCTGGTGAGGATGTGCAAGTCAGCATTTTCTTTCTATTGCTGAAATTGTTGAAAGACCCTACCCAGCTCTTTTCCTTCTCTTACAGTGCAAAGGAGAAAAAAAAAATAAAGAAAAAAGTCACTATGGGAATTTACCTTTAATAACAGCCACCGGTGACCCAGGTGGATGGGCCAGTCTTCTGGGTCTCAGTGACAGTGGTGAGGTGAATGCGAACCCTTCACACCCCAGTGACAGGCTAGCACCCCAGCAGGCAGCTCTCGCCATCACCACCTCCCCTCCTTGGCACTGTTCAGACAACACCCCCTACAGACTCTGCTGGATCCAAAGAGCTGACAAAGCTCTCTACAGGGGCAGTTCTGAGCAGTATCCTGCACGTCTAAGAAAACTGCACCAGGACAGGACGTTTTCTTCTAGAACACTGGTTAGATTCTGCTGGAACTGGGGCAAAGAAAGCATAAAGTCTACTTGAAGGAAAACAAGGCTGCAGGCACAAACTGACTAAAGTCGCTTGGTTGGTGTCCCTTACCTCGGCTGTACATCCATAGCCCTTCCAATGTCCACAGCTAGATGAAGGCCACACTCTCTGAGACCTGAGGCCCGGTCCCCAGGAAGAGAAGGGAGCCCAAGTCTGCAAAAACCAGGCTAACACCTGGGACGAGGCTCATTCACCCGACAAGGAAATACTACTCGTGTCTGAACTTTTTAATCAGATGTGTCACCAATTACTTTTAATTACTGTTGTGCACACTACTGTCATCTTCGTTTCATAAGTTCCTGAGTCTTAATCATGCAACCTGGATGGACATTTCTGTCCAAAACTTATCCATTGCTCCAAGTCTCGGGGTTGGACTGAACTTAAACATCATTCTTTTGCTCTGCATTTCCGCTCCCCAAACCCAAATGGAACAGGTCGATGACCTCCAAATCAAAGACAGCCCCAAACCAGCAAAGGAAGTGGGGAAAAGGACTCAGTCCGGACTCTGGTCACTTTACACAACTTGATGTATTTCTAAAACCTGTTGTGCAAGTCAGAGGGGCACGATGTGTGCACAAGTCAAACCAGTTGATCCCAGTTTCTGGAGCAGCGCGCGGGGGAGGGGACGGTGGGGATGATAACCACCTCGCAGCGGTTCTAGCCCGCGGGGGGCGCGCAAAGGATGCCGATGGGAGGCAGATAAGGATGCCGGCAGCCCGGGTGCGGGAACCCACCGCACCGTCAAGACTCTGCCTGTGGCCACTGGGCCACCTGGGGACTGTCGCTACTCCTGCGCCCCACAGGGGCAAATATGGCGAGGAAGGGGACGGTCCACTTCCTTCACCTATTCGGGCTTCTCGGAGGAAATTCTCCCACTCGCGCTTACCTGCTGGGTGGGATCCGGCTCCCGGCTTGCAGCGGTGTCCACAGCTCCGGTCGGGAGCGCAGGTCGGATCTGGCGCCCACGGTTCGCAGCGGGAACGGAATCGGGGACTGTGCGGGTGGAGCCCCGGTTTCCACCTGCGGCTTCTTTTAACCGCGCCCTACCCCGCCTCTGCCTGACGCCGCACGGGAGGGCTGCGGGAGAGGAGCGCGGGCACACGTCGGTCGCGCCAGCCAGCCGAGGTGCGCACCGCCCTCCCTCCGGGCTGGGGGCGCGGGGCGGGTCCCCTTTTGTGGAGCAGGGAGCAGGGGGGCCTTCCTTATAGGGTTAGGGGATCAGGGCGGGTCCGTCTTAGGGGGCGTAGATTAGAGGACTCAGGTGAGACCCTTCCTCTGGGGTCAGGGACCACGACGTGTCCCCTAGGAGAGGTACCAGCCTAAGCGCCAGGCTTGGGTTGGGGACACAAGGCATGTCCCTTCTCGTGGATGTGGGTGGAGCGTGGACCGCGATGGGCAAGCTCAGCCAGGTCCCAACAAGGGCAGGGAAGAGTTGCCCGCTGAGGCCCTGCTGGGACTGGACACTGGAGGGCTCAAGTAATGAGGTGAGGGCTGCCCAGAACGCCAAGGGAGCAGGCTTTGGGCGAGTGGGCTTTGCGCCAGCAGCGAGTTGCTTCTGTTGGTAGCAGCATTAAGGAGGCAGCTGGCTTATTTTCATCCTCCTTTGTGGACCCTTTGGGCATCCTCTCCTCCAGTGCAGCCTGGGGGTTCTTTATTCATTAATGGCCACTTAGGAGTCACAAGTGTTGCTTTTATTAGTCACCTGAATCCCTTCAAGCCTCCTCCAGGGAAGTGAAGTGGATTTCCCTCTGGTCTGGTGTCGCTGAGAGACCCCACAGCGTCTGCTGTCACAGACAGGGTAGGGAGAAGTGGGAGAAAACACAGAGGGTGGTGTGGGGGCTACCGGGCTGGAAATATTGGAAGCCATTTAGGGATCAGGCTTTACAGAGCTTGCCTTATCCTACATCAGACAAGAGATGTGTAACTTGCTTATTCCACAAAATTGGTTGGTAATTATATTGTCCCCACCTTACCTATACTCTACTTGTTGGGTCATATTCTTTCACAAAAAAGAATTAATAGTGTTTCCTAAAATGTCTCTCCCAGGTCATGGAAGTTGAGCCAACACTTTATAAAAACCCACCTTCTAAAATACTTGAACACGAGGTTCTCAGAAATTGGCCTGAATCATCCAAATTTAGAGTATTTAGGTGGTCCCTGGAATGGCCTGGAACCCAGGACGGCTGTCGGCTGCCCTGGTGTTCCTCCCTGCCTCCCACAGCCTGGCCACAGCAGAGGGTTGGTTCCTTCTCCATCCCACTGGCAGCATGCACTCCAGGCAAGCTCACCTGTGGCCACAGGAAAACAACCCCCCACCCTCACCCCAGGCAGATGGTAAACTTCTTTGAAGATTGTGAGATTTAAGTTTGGAGTTCTGGCCTTCTCTCTCCTTTCTTCTTTCCTACAGTAACGGGCACTCTGCGCATAGCAGGTAATGGGTCCACAAGTATTGGTGCAGTGCTGGGAAGAGCTGAACCAGCACAGCAGGTAACCCTGGAAACCAACTTTTGCTTCTTCCTATAGAATGACATGATCTTACTTCTGGTTCTGGCTCCTTGTAAGACAGTGCCAGATGCAGGCCAGTGGAAGATGCTCCAGGACCACACAGGACAGAAGTCAGACAAAAGAGCCCCGAGGATTGCCTTATTACACAGGTGTCTGAAGAGGAGCCCTCTCAACAAATAGTTAACTTTGTTGTTGTTGTTGTTGTTGTTCAGATCATCTATGCTGGCTCAGAGGTCTTTGATCTTGTCATGTATTTCTTACCACTTACCCTTATTGTTCAATTTTCACTCCTCATCGGGAAGGCTTGTTGCAGCAGAAATTCATGTAGACCATGTGAGCTTACTGATTTGATGAGCTTCTCATTAGGAAACTGAAAAGTCAGTTAACTAAACATGTGGTACAAAGACGCCTGGCATGGTGACAGATCATGTGGATTTGTGTCAGACATGAAAACTTTCAGGAGCCAGCTACAATGTGACCACCATCAGAAAGCACTGTACCACACTGAGAAAGATCCTTGTAGACTTGGTTGTAACTGGGGACCTGAATTAGTTTGATTACTCCCTCCCCTGGCATTGCAATGGTGATTTCTAAGGCCCTACATTTAATGAGTACAAAATGCGCAAGGTGTGGATTCTGCAATATGAGATGGGAAGAAATGAGCACAAGAGGCTCTTTTGAGCATTTCTCCCCTGAGAGTCCTCTTGTCCCTTTGCAAAAGGAGCAGAAGGGAGAGACTGCCACGCCCTCTGCCTGGCAGCTGGTACATGTGCTCAAGGATGGGGTCCTGTCCCATTGCTCAGGCATTCACTGTCGAATCTGGAAACACAGGACCAGATTGCGTTTTCCCTGGCATAGTTCTCCATGCCTGGAAGAGAGGAAAATAACGTAGTTTTTGAAATAAAAGCTAACATTTGTCTATTCATTCAACAGAAGACTCACGTTGTATTTAGTAGACTCCCTCCTTGGGGTTTTCAGATTCTGTCTGCAGGATTGGATAGGGGTTAAATGCTTCGAGAGAATGACCATGGAAGGAAAGAGTTACCTTCCACACATCATATCAAAGGCACATACCAGTCCCTGACTGCTAATGCCCATCTTGGCCAAGTGGCTGAGGTGGTGCCTGTGAGCTCTTGCCCCTGTAAGGTCACTCTTCCCCGCTTCCACATAGTACTTCTCTGATGAGATCACTTGCACAGCCTGTACCTAAGGTGTGGGATGTCTGTTAGTTTTTGCAGATGTATTTTGTCAGTTCTTCCAATCACTTTTTTTTTTTTTCCGAGACAGGCTTTCTCTGTGCAGTTTTGGTGCCTGTCCTGGATCTGGATCTCGCTCTGTAGACCAGGCTGGCCTCGAACTCACAGAGATTCGCCTGCTTCTGCCTCCTGAGTGCTGGGATTAAAGGCATGCGCCACCAGCACCTGGCCCTCCAATCACCTTTTTATATCAGCACACACTCGTGCGTATTTATTCTGTTCTTTGCATTACAACCCCATGCTACCTTCATTATTGTGATGTTCAGATTGTTTCCACCTTCCCCTTGACTCCTGCTTCCCCTTCGCTGTGCACCCACAACTGTGTGTATATAAGCATGCTGCAGCACTGTCTGTCTGTCCCTACGAGATGCTGCAGGCTCACCTTGGAAACTCCCGGCTACAGCCCTAGAGTCAGCCATTTCTCTAAGGAGCTGTGTCCCTTTACTGGTGTTCCACTGGATGACGCATGTCTTCTTAGTCATCGCTGGTCTTCTTGCTCAGCTGGATACCTTGCTGACAGCATCCTCTGGCTCTTCATAACCCCCGTACAAGCACAAGTGCTGTGTTTGGTGTACTCTGGGATCCCAGCAGGTGTTTGTCAAGGGAATGCATTCAAGAAGTGTTTATTGGACTGGAGATGTAGCTCGGATTGGTAGAGTCATCTGGAATGCATGAAGCCCTGGGTTTGAGCAACTTCACAGCCTAAAACTAGGTGTGGTTGCAGACACCTGTAATCCCAGCACTCAAGATGTAGAGGCAAGAGGATCAGAAAAGTGTATCCTCCACTATATAGTAAGTTTGAGGCCAGCCTGGATTATTTGATACTTAATTACAAATATTAGAAGAATCTGGTTTTAAAAAATGAGGAAAAGTATGGTTCTAGCATATTTGACCATCAGTTGGGTGCCTTGTACATACATACTATGGTGGCAGCTAGATCATTATGTTTTTTTGTCCCCCCCCCCCCCCCCCCCCCCCCCCCCCCCCCCAGACAGGGTTTCTCTGTGTTGTTTTGGTGCCTGTCCTGGATCTTGCTCTGTAGACAAAGCTGGCCTTGAACTCAGAGAGATCTGTAGTGGGTAGCTGTTTCAGCTTTGACCTGGAAGTACTACCTCCACTGAGTTTTCTGGTAACTGCCATGCCTACGAGGCAAGTGACAGGAGCCCAGAAGACCTGAGATCGGGATGTGCAGGCGCTCTTGGTTCCTGGATCCTGGACGCTGGAGGTAGACTGAACAGAGTTCTCCAGAGAACACCGCCGGACTGCGCTACACCTTTCCCGGACCCTGTAACCTATCCCTTCACTTGTAAGTTACCCTACAAAATAAACCTCCCTTTTAACTATGTAGAGTTGCCTTCTGTTGGAGCTGTAGCTGCTAGGCCATGTCCACACATGGTCTGCTGTTGAGCCTAGAGGGAGGGTCACAAAAGCTGGGGGATTTGAAGGGTTATGTCCACCTGAGCGCCTGATACATTGACCTTCTGGGAAAATGATCTGAAGTGTCTACAAGTAGGGCATTTTCTTAAGAAATTCTGAACTCTCCATCTTTGGTTTCTTGCTGTCTAAAGTGTATACAGCCTACAGCTCTAATTTGCAAACATCTTCTCACAGTCCATCATTGAGGGAAACCAAGGCAAGAACCATGAAGGAGTGCTGCTTACTGGCTTGCTCTCTATGGCTTGCTCAGACTGCTTTCTTTCTTTTCTTCTTCTTCTTTTTTAAAAATTCATCTATTGCCGGGCGGTGGTGGCGCACGCCTTTAATCCCAGCACTCGGGAGGCAGAGCCAGGCGGATCTCTGTGAGTTCGAGGCCAGCCTGGGCTACCAAGTGAGTTCCAGGAAAAAGGCGCAAAGCTACACAGAGAAACCCTGTCTCGAAAGAAAAAAAAATTCATCTATTTATTTTTACATCCCACCCACAGTCTCACCTGCATCCTCCCCTCCCAGTTCCTCTTCCCTATTCCTTCCTTTTCTGTCTCCATCCAGGGAAGGGCAGGTATCCTATGAGTATCATTAAAACATGGCATATCAAGTTGCAGTAAGACTAAGCACCTCTCCATCCCAGGACCACCTACCCAGGGTGGCACCACCCACAATGGGCTGGACCCTCCCACGTCAATCATTAGTCAAGAAAATGCCCCACAGACTTGCCTACAGGCCAAGCTGATGGAGGTGAGTCTTCAATAGAGGTTCCCTTTCTCCAGGTGACTGTAGTTTGTGTCAAGTGGACAAAAACTAACCAACACAGGTTGTGAAATCCTTCCAATGTATTTATGGAGATTATTTTCTGATTTTATTTGCTTTTGAAATGGATTTTTAATAACTTACCAGTAACTTCTTTGAGATGTTTCCATAGCAGGACAGTACTCATTTGAGCCTTAAATCCACATGCTCAGGTTTACTAAAATGCCTTCACTTCTGGCCATAAAAGAGTATGTTACATCACATAATGATATCACACAGTACTATTTCACAATAGAAAGATGAACAAGTTGGAAAATACTCCAAGTTTTATTTTTCAGGAGACCAGAAAGGGATGGAAAGGTCTGGGACAGGTTTTCAGCTGGGGTTGCTGAATTGGAGGTGGCTGGGAGAGTCTGATGTGTGCTGGTGACAGTGAGGAGACAGGCTGGCCTGCTTAAAGAAGAGGGCTTGTGCTGGGAATAGTGGTCAGGGATGTGTGGCTAATCTGGGAGAGAGGCTGAGCCTAGGACATGAGACAGGGACAGCATTGGGCAGAGCTGAATAGGAGATCTTAATGAAGGTTGTGCTTGGAGCTAGTGTGCTATGATTACATGCAATGGGGTGAATGTTCCCTTTGAAATGACCATGCCAGAATTTAAGAACTATGTGACAGTGCTAAGAGGTGATTAGGTCCCCCTCTAAGGGATTAGTACCTCCATAAAGGGGGGGGTTGGCCCCTAGTCCCATCTTTGCCCCCTTGCCTTCTACCATGTGAAGAGGGAGTGTTCTAATTACCCTCTTTGAGGTAGAACTGTTCAACTGGCCAGCATCTTGACATGGTACTTCACAGCCTCCAGAACCGGAGCCAGTAACTTTGTGTTCATTATCAACTGCTCAGTCTGAGGTGTTCTATTAGGGCAGCATTAAATCTGCTCAGACAGTAGCCAGCAGCTATGGTAATTTGCATGATATCTTCTAAGCTATATGAGCCAACAGTCCCCTGCCATGTTCTGATACAGCCAACAGTTACCGCTGAAAATGGAAGAGGCAGCTGGGGTGTGTTAGGGGATAACATGCAGAGGCCAGAGAATGGCCCACAGGTAGGGGCTGCTGGATAGGTCATGGGGTGATGGGTTTCCAAGTGGCACTGTAGTACAACTGAGCCCCTGGGGCTGGAAATGAAGCTTGCTGGGTCTCAGCTGTCTCTCGGAGGAAGCCAGTCCTGTGAGTCAAACCTTCTCTTACCACCAGCAGAAAAAAAATGCTGACAAAAAACGCAGTCTCGAGAGTACCTGGTGTTGACGACCTTGGCCTTGGGCTGTGCTGAAACAGCGCTGTGCAATGAAATGGGAAGGCAGGGGTGAAGCTCTGGAGGACAATCCAAGACTTGTTGCTTACCCCCTTCACCCTTACCCCGACTCCTGTCCGTGAAGTTTCCTTCCTCCCTGTACTTGCCACAGACATGTGCTGCACATCCTGGCTTCATTCCTATGGAACCTTCCAGACCCTGCTTCCTTCTCTCTGACCCACTCTCACCCACCTAGATCTACCCTTCCGGAATACTCTAACCGACAGAGTGACAGAGTACAGTTCAAACGGAATTGAATCAGCGTACAGTTTGCTGGTTGGCAAAAGTGAGTTCTCTGTTCAACAAAATTAAAGCCAGAGAAAGTCTTTGTATTCAAGCCCTTATGCAACAAAACGCAACCTACTTTAGTACAGATAACCTGTGAATCAGTCAATAAATCAGTCAGTCATGGCAACTGAGCCTCAATCATTGCGGGTGATCCATGGGCGCACATGGAATGTTGAGCTGGAGACAGTTAAGCCATCTCCACATGGGCTCATCTCGCCTCTTTGCCCATGAGTGTCAGCTAGGCACGCTATAGTGCCGTAATTCTCAGAAGCCACTCTGGCCCTGAGGCCTATTTGGTTCTAGAACTGTGAATAAAAGCCACTTTGGATGCGTTTGCTGGGTTTGTTGTAGCTTTGTCTTTGGTAGGAGTTAGGTGGGAGACAATGTGGCTGGTCAAGGCCACACAGGTTCACCTGGGGTGGGGGTGAGGTGAAGGAGGAATCAGGGAGGGGGAGGCAGCTGGGCTGGGGGAGGAGCCAGTGTGGCAATGTGTGTCCAGGTGGGGACAGTTTTCTGAAGGATGATGTGTGAGTGAGTCAGAACTCTCCAAAGACCGAGAACCCACAGGCACTCTGTGTGTGTATTCAGAGAGATTCATGTTAAAGAACTGGCTTTTGAAATGTGGGGTCATTAAATCCGAAATCCACAGGTCAGGCTGGAGAACCAGGTAGAGCTGGTGACTCAGTGGAGTCTCAGAAAAGTCTGGGGCAAGGTTCCCTCTTCCTTAGCTGACCTCGGCCTTTTCTCCTGTGGCCTTCCGCTGATTTCATAAGGGTCACTCCCATTACAGTGGGCCACCTACGTTAGTCAGTGATTTAACTGTTATTCACATTTAGAAACTACATATGTCTGTCTTCATAATGCCATTGAGACTGGTGCTTGACAAAACACATCTGGGCCTTTTGGACTAGGCAAGTTCATACATAATATTAACCAGCATGTGTGGGGTCATTCATCCTCCCAGGAGATGCTAACTGATCCCTATGCTAAGCTTTTGAACTCTGTAGCCCACAAGTTGCTTCTCCTTTGAGAGTCATGATTTGTAAACAACCGCGTATAGAACATTGGTCAGGACTGTGCTAAGGTCAAGGGCTTCACTGTGTGGCCAGGAGCATGAGAGCCACGGAAAGGTTTCTGAACAGAGAGGTCTTGTTTAGCGCTTCATTTGTATCTGTGGTATACACTACCACAAATGTTGTTATTTGTTTTGAGCCAGGGTTTTGCTATGTAATCCAGGTTGGCCTTGAATTTGTGATCTTCTGGCCTTTGCTTCCTGAGCACTGGGAATACAGGCATGTGCCAGTACACCTCACCCCAGAAGATGTGAACTGTTATGTATTATCTGTAATAAGTAATTTTACAAATCAGTTTAATTTTGTTTTCTGCTCTCAATGAATTGTGAGGAAAAAAAGAGATTAGAGACAAGCCAGAAGAGAGTTGGGGTATTTAAGTATGATTGTCTTCTCCTCCCCTCCCCAGAAAAAAAAAAAAATGAGTAATACTGGAGATGTTTGTATGTGAGTATGCCCTTAGAAGTGAAGAGATTGCCCACCATTAGATGCCAAGTTCTTTAACTACAAATGCATCTTTCAGAGCAATGAACTTCTTATACTGACTTTTTGCCTTCTTATGTGTTTCCCTTAACTATTCTTTAAAATAGAAGACCAAAGATTTGACAGTTTTAGCAGGTGGGTATTAACCAATGAATGCTTTCAGGACTTGGGCTGGACACGGAATATGTTTTCAGTCCTGAAGGAGAACTAAGGAACCCAGTAGAATTACCCAACAGTGCTGAGATGAGACATCTAGGTGTCAGGAATCAAAAGGCAGATCATCTGCTTTTAAATCTCCCCTTGATTCTCCTTCAGTGTTTCCTTGTGGACTTTCTCAGTGATGTACCGCCATGGTCCATCTTCAGTTGTCAACCGGACTGGATTTGGAGTCACCTAGGAGGCACAGCTCTGGGTGCAACTGTGAGAGCTTTTCCAGAGAGGATTGACTGAGGGAGAAAGACCTACCCCGAATGTGGGCAGCACCATCCACTAGGCACAGATCATGGGCTGGATATGAAGGAGAAAGAGGACTGAGCTCATCATTCAGCTCACTCTGCACGTGACCTCTTGCCACCACAGACTGTATGCATGCTCTACCATGGAAGTCTGCATCCTTCTTAGACAGAGAGCTGAAAGGAAACCTTTCCTTTCGCCAGATACTTTGTAACTAGAAAGTGATGAATATACTCACTTTTCACCCTCTCTTGGCTACAAGGACTTTACCTGCCCTTTCTGGTGAAGGACGTTTGTTTTTCATAAGCTAGTGGCTGTATGTTTGGTGCACAGAGGTGGAGGGCATGTGAGAGCCTTGTTCCTTGGCAGCAAGTTGTAACTATATTTTCAGACTATTTCTGGGGATCATTTGAGAGAGCATGGGATATCTGAGGCTGCGATGTGGGAGGATGGGAAAGAAGACCCAGGTGTGAGAGAGGTAGATGACCCACGCTGGAGTCTCCAATGTCTTCCATGGGCCCTCATTTAGAATGCTTGGTCCCCAGATGTGCTGCTATTTTGGGAAGTTCTGGAGATGTTGGAGGGTGGGGGTCTGCCTGATAGAAATGGTCACTAAGTGCGAGCTTTTGAAGGTCGTATCTCATATTAGTTCCTGCCTTGCCCTCTCTGCTTTCCGATCTGCTACAACAGCTTCTCCCTCTGACCACTCCAGTCACCATGAACCAAGCTCTCCTACCGCATCTTCCCGCCCTTGAGGAAACCTTCCGATGCGGACGATGTGAAGGCTGAAGTTGTCTACATTGGGTGTTTTGGCTACAGTGACAGGGCAGTGACTAATACAAGCTGCTCCTACAAGATTCCAAACTCCCTGCCCTGAGGGGTCCCTCCCTTAAATGTTTCCTTCCAAGTTCCAGCCACAGGAAGGCCTTCCCTTTCTGGGCTTCCAAGCCCAGCACACCCATCCTCCAACGATGAAAACACACTACTAAGAATTGTGTCGCCCATTCAGAGACACCACAGACTGGGCAGGATCTCTACTTTCCACCAACTCCCAAGGTGTCCCCATTTACAGGGAGGTCATTATGACTTCAGGGATGTCCCAAATAGTAGATGCTCCCTACTGAAGCTGACTTCAGCAACTTTCACTCCTCTACTCTCTTCCAGTCTCGCTCTTGAAACTTTTGATCCTTCTGCGTTTGGTGGCTTCCTGGAGGTCACCTTCACTGCAACCAGTCTGTAGTGGATGCTGCAGCACCCCTCTCAGCTGGCCAGCCATGGTTCTGAAAGCTTCCTGGGATGTGTGGACTGTAGAATGTTTAACTATAGCTGTGGCCCAGCTCTTGTCAATGACAGGTCTCAGTCGAGCCCAGCTGCAATATAAAACCCTTGAAGGTGCAATGTGGGGATTTCTTCTTCTCTTTTTCATATTCTTGTTCCTTTCTACTTTAGTGTCCTCCTTGGGACAGAGGGACTATCTAAATTACAGAATTGTGATCTTAAAGGGGACCTTGCTTCTGAGAGTCTAGACAAAGTGTCTAGAATATAATGAAGGCTCTATATTTGCCTCCTGTCTTTCTAGTGACATTCCCCACACAACAGTTTGTTGTGTCCATTTGGACATTCCTATTTGTGTCTCATTTTCCATCTTTTGCTCATTTCTCTCTTGTCTCACTGTGTTCTGAGTTACCGGTATCACTGCGTTGTGAGTTGGGGAGCGGCGTCTAGTCTGAGTGTGGACAGCGTTATGTTGACATCAACGCGCCTTTCTTCCCACATTCTCCACTGCATCACTTAGCACTTGCACTCTTCACTGGGTTGCTTCAGTTTCCTGCTCTCAGATGAGTGCAGGAAAAACATGGGCAAGGAGATATGATAATGTCCCGAGGGCCACAGAGGCCATAGCCAGGGAGAAGCTGGGCTGTAGAAGAGGACTATCTAGGAGCACTTTGCAGCATAGATCTTGGGTTCAAAGCTGCCCCATGGGTTTCTTGTGCTTTATTTTGAAAGTTATTTTTCAGAACATCTCATTGTTCCTTTCTGTTGCTCAGGATTTGGCAACTGTGTGTGAGGTGTGGTGGCACACACCTATGATCCAGGACTGGGCAGAATGGAACGGTGAGACTGGGAACTTGAGGCTAGCCTGGCTTGCACAGTAAGACCCTGTCTAGTCACAACAAAAGGCAATATCTATTAGTTCAAACTTCAAAAATCTGATTTTTGTGAACAAAAGCAACTCATTGGAGAAAAGATAATCTTTAAGAAAAATCATGACACCTCTCACAAAAAATTGACTCAAAATGGATCATGGATCTAAATGAAAAGAGCGAACTTGCTAATCTTCTAGAAAACAAATGGAAGAGAAAATTGGGTGACCTTAGTTTGATGATAACATATTAAAAGCATCATTCTGGAGATGAGGAGGTTGGAGGCTGGACTGTGAAACACACTGTAGAGGGAGGGGGAATGAAAAGACTAGTTAAACTAGAGGAACACACCTAACCATTTAACTATGAGCCAGTATCAAAGACAGGCAATTAACTCATCAAACTGGGACCCAAACTTCTCAAACTACTCAAAGCTTGGAGAGGTGGCTCACATCTGAAATGCCAACACTTGAAAGACCAAGATAGGATTTCCACAAGTTTAAGACCAGCGTGGACTATGCAGAGTTCCAGGCCAGTCCCCTTCCTGCTCTAGCTCTTCAAAAGGGCAAATGTTGTTTTATCTTTGACACAATGACTGCGCCTTAATCTACTGCTATTTCAGTCAGCAATTGTGACTCCACAGTTACCAGTCTGCTTCTCTGACAGTGGCCTGGCCACTCAGGCCACAGTGGGAATTCTGTTCCTGTAGGCACTGGCTCTGTCGCTACAGCTAAAGGTATATTTAGCCGAATCTCTATATTTCTATTTATAAATAAGACTTGAGACTCAAAGGCTGAGGTGAAAACCTGCTAGCTCAGAGAGGTTGAGTAGTAACTAGCCAACCTTCTCTCCTGGCTGGCATCTTCCAAAAAGCCTATTCTTTCACTCTGCCAAAACAACAACAACAAAAAGCCGTGCCACTCAAAATCCCTCCCTACTACCGCCACTGCTTCTCTCTATCTCTTCCAGGTGCCCTCTGAGGCTCTATAGTTACTTTCTGTCAACTAGTCACTAATTCAGCCTCCTGACCCAAAGTTAATTTTATTTAATTAATGAAAATGCTAATTTGGGTTTCACAGTGTGATTGAATATTCCCCAACAGGCAAGAACCACAACAAACATCTCCCCAAAGATGCTGACACATAAGCATGTGAGGATGTCCAATGTAACATCTCACCAAGGAAACACAAATTAAAACAGCGGTGAAGATGCCACTACACACCTTTAGAATGGCCGAAATTCGGAACCCTGATGACACCAAGTGCTATCAAGGATGTAGAGCAACAGGGACTCTCATCACTCATGGGAGTGTGAAACTTTGAAAGACAGTTCGACATTTTCTTTTTTTACCCAAGCAAGTCAGAACTGATGCTCACACAAAAACTTGTAAGGATGTTTATAGAAGTTTTATTTATGAGTGGCAAAACTTGGAAGCAAACAAAATGGCCTTCCTTCTACAAGTGAAACAAACTGTGGTACGTCCATACAATGAAATATTATTCACCAGTCAAAAAATCCACCATGGAACACTAGAAAACACGTGGAGGAACTTGGTGTGTGCTTTGCTGAATGACACAAGGCAGCCTGGAAAGGCCATGCACTTTAGGAGTCTTACAATCTGATAGTTGGAAATGGTGAAATTCTTGGGACAGTAAAAAGATCAATGGCTGTGAAAGGTTGCTGGATGGAAGAAGGAGAAAGTGAGGCACACAAGGGTTTTAGATAGTGAAACGGTTCTGTGATGCTCTAATGGGGAGCACACAGCATTATACATCTGTCCAAACTCACAGAGAGTCGTATGCCAAGTGTGGGCACTGAACTGGACTTTAGTGAATAATAGTTTATTGGCATTGTCATACCAGCTGTAACCAACACACCATCTCAGTGCAGGACGTGAATAACAGAGGCACTTGGGAGAAGGGGCTTGTGGGGACTTTATGCAGCGTGCTTAATTTTTCTGTAAATGTGAAATTGCTCTCAAAATTGCTCTCTTGTCAGGTCTGGTGATGCCCAATGTTTAATTCCAGCACTCATAAATTACAGAGGCAGGAGGATTACAAGTTTGAGGCCAACCTGGGCTGCATAGTGGCTTCAAGGCTAGCTTGAGCACCATAGGAAGACTGCCTCAAAAAAGACCAAGGGCTGAAGATCAGCCCAGGGGTAGAGAATTCACATGTGTGAGGCCCTGCACCACAAAAAGTAAAATACAATAAGTAACAGTGAAATCTACTAATTAAAAAGCCCTTGGTTCTTTAATGTTAGGTCTTGTATTAATTAACAGAAGCACATTCTATAACAGCATTTATATATAAATAGGAAAATAAAATGTACAAGCATTTTCTTATCTTAATAAATGTGTTGTTTATTACATTGCTTCTTGTACTGATTTTGTTGTTAATTCACTCACAAGTTGTCGCTCATTGTCTCCCAGTCCTCAACACATGTTGAATGAATGAATCCAGCTGGGAAGTCTTAAGCTACGGCCCATTTGGATTTCAGAATACATGGATGTCACCTCACCAATCCCTCCTATCTTTATAGCTAAGGCTGCCCCAGCCTCCATGAACAGGACTTATTTACAACTTCTGTGGTGTGGCCTGGTAGGAAGTTTAGAGGCTGTATATTTTTCTTTCTTTATGTTTTTGCTGTTGTTGTGTTATTTCCTAAGAATTTTACTCCGCTGCCCGAGTTGGTCTCCAACTCATGACAATCCTCCTGATACTGGGATTAGAGGGGTGAGCCACCACACCTAGCTCTGAGACTTCCATCTTCTTCATAGCAAACCAGCCAAGAACAGGACCCAAAGCGAGTCATTCAGAAAGCTGTCACTTTCCCAGGACAGGGTTTCCCAAAGCACTTCTAACCTCCTCCTACCCAAGGCTCAGAAGCACAGAACTGGGGCGCTGAAAGAGTGGAAGAGCTGGAGGATGATGCAGGGGAGTGCCATGAAATGCTGTCTTCTGGGCATGACTCAGTCACTGAACTCACGAGCCCACAGCAGCTGGGTTTGCTGCACAAGTGCGACACAGGACCAAGCTTGTAACTATTTCAGCTTGTAACTATCCGCTAAGGAACTCTAGGCAGTCGGTGGCTAATGGGGAAGGGAGAGACATTTTTCTTTAGGAGTGTGGCCCCTGCTCCAGTGGCCCCCACACCCATATGGGAACACAAATGGGCAGCACTAATTAGACTTAGTAGGTTAAAAAAAAAAATAAAAAGAGGGCATGAAGTTAGGAGGAGGAAGTGTAGATTGGCTGGAGAGGGGATGGAGGGGAGCTGCCGGGAGTGGGTATGATCAAAATACATTGTGCATATATACAAGATTCTCAAAAGATAGTTTAAAAATATTATAAATAAATAAAAGAGAAGAAAAGAGCTGTGCAATGAGCTAGTTCCCAGCAGTATCCAACCTGACTTCAGTCTTTGGCTCTGTGGACCAGAGCCTATCCGGACCCTTCGTCAGACTTTGACTGGGAGCCTAAGCTGTTTATCTCCCAGGCTCTTTATCAAAGCCTCACAGCGACTGCAATCCAAGCAGACCGGATCCTCTGTCTCTACAGATGAAACAAGATTACGTCTCACTGGTTCTGTTTTGAATCTTTAACTAAAAGCTTGGCTCAGCTGAGAGCTGGCTGCAGAATCTCTAACTTCAGCCCAGGGAAGGATCAACACGTATCTCAAGACTGGTGACAGAGGAGTCTGTCTTCACCTGCAGCTGTTCCAGCTGCTGTCAGAAAGGACCTCCTCAGCACCAACCATGCCCAGACACACCCTTGCGGGGGGGCGGGGGGCAGAGGGTTGGAGGAACCTTTCTGATAGGTCGGGCTGTACTCCGAAGCCACCAATCACGTGCTTGAAGCCGGCAAAGACTATTCCCCGACCCCCACCCAGGCAGGTTATGAGTGGCGTGGTTGATGCTTGTTTCCTGTGTGATAATGTTCCAGGGGAGCGAGGGTATGGGAGAACATGAATGCAAAGATGCCGAACCTTTATTTATAAGGCTCAATTTCAGCTCCTAGCGAGAGGGTGGGCAGGCTGGCGGTTGGTGAACGCTAAGAACAACGTCAAGGTTGTGGCGATCTACTCTCTCTTCCGGGCCTGTCTCTGGCCAGGCTCTGGTAGCCTTCTCCCCTCTAGCTAGACATCTAATCCTCCTCTATCCCTCTCCAGCATCTCTCTCTGTCTCTCTCTCTCTCTCTCTCTCTCTCTCTCTCTCTCTCTCTCTCTCTCTCTCTCTCTCTCTCTCTCTCTCCCTCTCCTTCTCCCTCTCCCTCTCCCCCTCTCTTCCTCTCCCCCTCCCTTCCTCCCTCTCCCCCTCTCTCCCTCCCTTTCTTCTTCTCCCTCTCTCTCCCTCTCCCTCTCCCCCTCTCTTCCTCTCCCCCCTCTTTCCCTCCCTCCCTCCCTCCCTCCTTCTCTTTCTCTTTCCTTCTCTCTCAGCAGTGCTGGAGCTTGAACCCAGGGCCTTGCTATGCTAGGCAAACTACCTCCCACCGAGCTACATAGAGACAGGTTTCTCTATGTAGTTCAAGACGGCCTTGAACTCACAGTCCCCCGCCTCCACCACCCAGCTGTGTGTCACCACACCTGGCTTGTTCCCCCCAGCTGTGCACTACCACACCTGGCTTGTTCCCTGTCTTTTTGATGGCTCACTTAGGGCCCTGGGAAACCCTTTTCATTCACTCAACAATCTTTTGAGTATCTTCAAGTGTGCGAAGCCCGGGCCATAAATAAGTCCACCAGCCCTCGTCCCTAGTCTCATGAGCCTGCAGAGAGACAACTCTCAAACAAAGAGGATTTCAAAAGGGAGGGGCAGGGCACTGGGAAGTCGGGCGGCACCAGCCTGTGGCTTTCAGAGAAAGCATAACAGAGGCTGTGACGTTTGACAAGAAAAGGGTGGGCCTCCTGAGATGCTGGGAGGGTGTCGGCCAGGTGCCTTTCCTCTCCCACACTGCTCCTGGGGTTGCAGTCTTGGACATCTTACCCTGCCACTCTCCATACAGCCCTGCAGTACCTTTCTGTGGCCCTTCACCCTCGAGGATATCCTATAGACTGAAGACTTGCTGCTTGCCTTTCCCAGTCACAGTCACAGGCAGCGTGCATTCCCAGAGCACACGCTCCAAGACTGCCATGCAGCCCAGCAGCCCAGATCTTTGTGTGGCTCCTTACATTTAGGTTTTCTTTTCCCCATCTTCAAAAGTTATCCTTACCCTTCAAGACTCAAGGATTATTTGATTCTCACAAATAATGGTAATTCTCCTTCTGTCCTGAAATATCTTTCATTCTCCTGCGCTATTTTGGAAGTTGGTTTGCACATCTTTGGAGTACAAGACCCTTGGTGACAGAAACCCCATTGCCTCTCCCAGCACCTAGTACCCCATATACCACCAGCACCTAGTATCTAGCACTAGATCCAGCACCCAGCACCTAGAATCCAGCACCAGGATCCAGCATGAGCACCAGCTTTTAGCATAAAGGTGACGTGCAAAGAACCAGTTTTCAGTGAATTGAATTAAACTGAATGAACACTGACTTTCCTAATCCAATTAGCAACCCAAGAGATGCTTCCTTTACTAAGAAATCATCACTCTGGACTTACAACTCTTCAGGTGTGAGGCAGCTGTCAGTGTTCCCCGTGTAATTAAAAATGACTCTCCTGTAATTGCTAGGGCATTAACCTATGGAATTTAGTATGGTATAAAGAGTTACACTGACAGTTTCTAAACTTGTGCTGTCTGAGGATGATTAAGGAAAAGTCAGTCAAACGCCAGCATGTTGGCAAGAATAACAGGAAGACAAAGAATGTGGTTTACTGAGGCCAGGGCTCCACGTGGCTGGCAGCCTGGGTGGCTTTCCTCTGGTGACGTGGTAGAGTCTGACAGGACATCTCCGGCTTTCCTCTCACAAGACATATGCTCAAATTACCCAAGAATATTGGTACATGGAGGGTTTTCACACAGGGACTCAGTTGAGAACCCTCGGAATAAGATGGAGACAGAAGCAGCTCAGGGATCTGGGTGGTTCGTTTGTTTCTGCAGCTGTTTATTGGTTGTGCCTTAGACAAACACACACACACACACACACACACACACACACACACACACACACACACACACACACACTCTTCCCACCCAGTTCCCTTCTATTTCCCTGTCTCCTCCCTCCCCCACCCCAGGGGTTTTTAATCTGTGTACGTTACCGCTGGGGTTGCTTTGCCGGCGTACTTAGACTCACCTATGTTAAGATATCCATTCATTTATTCTCACAACAAGGGCTTAAACGAGGTCATAAAATGCCATTTCTTTGCAGAGCTGGAGAGACCTCTGGGTCCCACGCTTGCTGCACAAGGTAGCTTGAAGCAGAGTTTAATCAGGTTGAGTATTTTCAGTCCTGAAAACTAACAGTGATGGTGTGGGGGGTAAGCGAGGTCTGTGATTGTGTATTTGATTTTTTTAAAACAATCTTTCTAATGCACACATTGAAAATTATTTTAGTTGTGTTTCATGATTTTTGCCTTCAATCTCCACTATGATTGGGTTTAAACTATTCTCTAAGCTGTCTGGCAATGCCTTTGACCCATAAATAAATTAAGTATATATTGTTTAACTTGCCCATTGGGGGAGATTTTACCTACATCTTCTTTTTTTCCCATTCTTCTTTAGTCCATAAACACCTAGTCACAAATTGCACAAATCATTTATTTTTGTAAAGGCCGAGAAGGGTATAGGGAAGTGTTTTTTGTGATGTGGGGGTGGGAGAAAGGACAAGGAGTTGGGAACTAGTCTACTGTCTCCACAATCCTGATAGGACTATGGCATCTGCAGTGGGACTCTGTGGAAGAGGTGGGCAAGGGTCCAGGGGAGCTGAGGGATGGGGATCTCTAAACTGAGAGCTTGCCCCACAAAACGTTTCAGTGTGTGGCAGGGGCTCAGGGAAGATGAGGGGGCTTGGAGAGTGAGCAGCAAAACTCAGGTTAAGTGAAGACAGATGGGTGGGGTCATCTCGGTGAGGGGATGAGAGACAGGAAAAGCAGTTAAATGGGTCACTGAAAGGTTATCCCTGAGGCCCCCAGGGAGAGGTGGGGGCCAGCTTGCCTGTTAATTTAATATTAAATTGGGATGGAAGTTGGAAAAGACAACATTATTTCGAGGGATGATCTCTCAGTCTTGTATAAGAGAGGCCGGGAGCCTGGGGCCTTCACCAGTCATAGCGACTGGACATTTCCACATGGGATTCCTCAGTTCCCTGGATAGCCCGGTGGGGAAGCCTCTCTGCCCTTTATCCCCGACCGGACCCACAGATGCCTCCTGCTGTCCAAATTCCAGAGGAAGTTGCTACCAGAATTGGGACGTCTCCCTTCGCCATTCATCA